AAGGAAGGAAGGAAGGAAGGAAGGAAGGAAGGAAGGAAGGAAGGAAGGCAGGCAGGCAGGCAGGCAAGCAGGCAAGCAGGCAGGCAGCTAGCTGTAGGCACACATTATTATTTTATATTACACATTAGGAATAACAATAATAAACATTCCAAATTAGGATCATCTTCAGAGATACGTAGAGCCAAACTTACAAGTGGGTCTTTCCCCACTAGCATCTAACCATAGCACTAACACACCATGGCAACTTCTGTTTTCTCCTGTACCCCGATGAAGTTGCCTTCTCTTATCCAGCCCATGAGCAAGATAGGCTTAAGTCATCCTTTAGCAGTATTGATACTAAAGTAGTATTTTCCTCCTTCATCTGTTACTAGGGTCATCCTCAAGTTGTGTAAAATCTGTTAGACTTTATCACTTTCCCTTGGGAGGGAAGTCAAGTGGCAGCAATGGCTGGGAACAGGAGCAGGATAGGGACTGGCAATGAAGACAACAAATCTCACGCAAGTATCACTTTCTGCCTACTCAGAATGGGTAGCATTTGAACTCAGCAGTGGGAGATGGTGCTAAATAAGACATCATTCACCACTTAACAATTGCTAGGGATTCAGAGGAAGAGATTTAAACTGTTTATGCACCCCACTCCCAAACAGCTCCAGTCTGGATCAATCCATCCCAATCTGAGGGAGGCAAAAGTGGCTGGCCAGCAGGTTTTGGGTACAATTAAAGGACAGCAATTAAAACCAATATTTCTGTACATTTAAATAGAAAGTCCCAAAAAACAGCCAGGTAAAATATGCCCTGCTCTACTGGAATGCCACATGTTATCTCCTTTCCATATGGCTACATATTACAGTGTAAGAAATTACCACTTGGTAAACTCAGGGCCTTCGGACATTCTGGGCTACAACTTCTACAATGCTTCATTATTGGCCATGCTGGCTGCAGTTGATGGGAACTGAAGTCTAAACGTTCAAGAGGAAAGTTCCCTACATCTGGCATGTGTTCAGCTGTAGAATGAATATGCTAATTTTTAAAATGTTATTTTATTTGGAACTGCATGCAAATCTATAGATTTCCCTTGAAAATACTGTAAGTCTCTTTACTTTAAGAGGTAATAAGGCAAAAAAACAAAATAAAATGGATGCTATGATCAAGATAATTAGAAGTACTGATTTTTTGCTATACATACCCTTTCGGTTCTGTATGTATCTGTGATGCAGTGCCATATTCCACGATAGTGTGCTTCTGTCTGAATTCTCACCTGTTAAAGCAAGGTAAAGCAATCCATCATTCATATCAAATGTATAAAAGGAAGTACCACAATTGGGCATTTTATGTGACATACATTCTGTTTACAAACAATTAAGAACAGAAGCATTATATTAGTTAAATTAAAGGTGCACAGAGTTTGTTTTTGAAGAAGAAAGGTGGAGATCCATAGCTCAGGCCATGTTTATATAACACATTAAACCAGCCAGGCACATTTTTAATTAGCCATCCGGCCTAGCATATTGTATGAATTTAGGCCAAGGGGTGAGTTTATAGTTCAATATGATGTAACAATCTACAGATTCAGGACAATGTATGGGTCGGTTAACCATGAGTAACAGCTGTAACTGTCTATTGTGGTTCTGAAGTTCTGAAAGGATTAGGAGAGTGAACCTTGGAATTCCTTCTGCTAAATCCTTTAACTTACCACAGAGCTTTTATCTGAAGAGGGGAAAACTGTGTACACAATGAACTAAGCTATGGTGTGATTTGTTTGCTTCTGTCTTAGAACTCGATGTGTATCCAGCCACAGTGGATTGTAAAAGATGGTTTATTAAGCACAGCATGGCTTACCACAAAGTGTTAACCCAATCATAGAGAAGCCTGCACACTTTCCCATGTGGTAGGGATTATACACAAAATAGTATTTTTAAGAAACTGGCTGAAATACCTTTACTGTATCCAATGGATAACCTACTGCAGCACTGACACCACCTGAAACAAATAATTGTATGTGAATTTGTTTTGGAAGTATTATAATTAAACGTGTTCAAGCCCACAGAGGACAGATTACATTCTTCAAGCTACCACATTAATACTTCTCAAACCAACCTATGTATGTTCCACTTTTACCAAATCCCTCCCTCTTGCTTTGAAATTATTGTTTGTATATACTTTTGATGGGCTATCAGAGTTAAGACTTCCCCACTGCTCTCCCAAGCCAGTGATACTTCCTTTTTCTGTGAGATGGTACTAGTTGGACTACATAAGTACCATCACACTGAAAACTGACAAGTCTTTAGCATATGTAATCTGGTATCCCCTAACCAAATTTATATATTAGGAATTCCAAACCTGATTTTCCAGGATTCTCAACCACAGAGAATCTCCACAAAGAACAATCTGCACTATAGATGCTATGCCCTGTGATTGTGGAAGGAGACAGAAGTGGAAGATTGAGTGGCCTTCACTCTAAAGTGGACATTAGTGAGATCTATAAAGAATGCTGCAGAATATTTCTAATTTTTAACAGACATCTAGTTAAGAGACATCTTGCCTCACTTGTATCTATTTAATAATGTAAGCTATTCAGTTGTGCCTATTTCTTATTTGCAAAATATCCATTTGATGGTAATGCTAGTTAGTATGATATAATGGAATATTACCCCTTCATGGATCACTGCCTTGTCGTGGCGAAGGGGCTTGCGTAACTCAGTGAAGCCATGAGCTATTCCGTGCAGGGCCACCCAAGAC